ATGAATTTGTGAAGAGTGCTGTAGACTGGTTTTCATAACTTAATATACATTAAAATCTCATTGTTTAAAATTCTGATTAAAGGGTCGTCCATTTACGACGACAACACGGGGGATGGGGGTGTTTGTGTCCAGAGTTTCTTCCAGGCATCTCTTCGGGGTGGGGAGGGGCAAAGCCCCCGAAAAAATTGTGCCGCCCCCCCCCCCCCCCCCCCCCGAACGAAATGAAATTTATATAATTTATATAGAAAATATATACTTTTAAGTGTCCGCCCCCCCCCCCCCCGAAGAAAGTCTACCGCCCCCCCCCCCCCCCGAAAATTTCAAGTGCCCCCCCCCCCCCCGGAGAAAAAAGTCTGGAAGAAACACTGTTCGTGTCACTTTGGACGTCCACATGTTGAATTTAACAGCTAAATACTTATATTTAAAAACAAATTCCAACTTTTGTGGTCGTCATAAATGGATGACCCCTAAAGTATGGATGTATGGTCAGAGGCGTAGCGAGGGGTGGGGGCGGGGGGCGGACCGCACCGGGTGACACCATTTAGGGGGGTGACACCAAGGCAAAAAATAGCAAAATATATAGAGAAAAACTTGATGGGGGGTGAAAATCGAAAGTTTGAGGGGGTGCAAATCGAAAGTTTGAAGGGGGGGGGGTGCAAATCGAATATTTGAAAGTTAGTCCCCGGGAAGTGTCGCTATGCCTCTGGGGGGGGGGGGGGGGGGGAATTTAGAGAAAAACTTGATGGGGGGTGAAAATCGAAAGTTTGAGGGGGTGCAAATCGAAAGTTTGAAGGGGGGGGGGGGGTGCAAATCGAATATTTGAAAGTTAGTCCCCGGGAAGTGTCGCTATGCCTCTGGGGGGGGGGGGAATTGACACCATTAAGTGCCGCACCGGGTGTCACCCGACCTACGCCACTGTGTATGGTCCAAAGAGCTGACACTATTAGCCTAGATACCAATACATTTTGGGCACATACCACAGAATGTAATTTATATGAAACAGATAACAGACGAAGTGCGAGCTGCTATCGATATTGGCGACATCAGCTATGGAAGCTACAAAGAGCTGAGTGCATCATTGGAACATCTGTTAAATCCTTTAATCAAACTCAATACAGAACTACAAAGTTAGCCTTTTATTTTAGCTGGCGACTTGTAAGCTTGTGGTACTAGATAAAATGCATTGTTAACCTATTTTCTATGTTGTGTAAAAGAAAAATGGTGTTTAGCTCCATCCACTATATCAATATATCATTCATAATTATATATATATATATATATATAATCATATTAATAGATAGTTTATATAGGGCAAACACATATATAAACATATATATAGCTTATCTGATAAAATATGTAGTAACACTAGTATACATTTACGTGTTATTTTAATTGTTGATTATTTTGTTTTAGTGCCAAGAGAAACTGGGAGCTTTATCAATGTAGATGAAGCTGTAGAGGCTGTTTACTGCCGTCTATCAGCTGAAATGAAGAAGAATAACAAGGAAGCGAATGTGTTGCTCTCAAACCAGAGAAAAGAAATAGATGACATCAGAAATTCTACTGATCAATTGCTTAACAAATATAAGGAAGTAATAACACATCTTGATAATTTGGAAGTAGAAGCTGAGAATAATTTTAAAAAATTGAATGCGGAAAGTTCAAAAACATTTGAAAAGCAGAAAAATATTATAGTACTTTTAGAAAAAGAAAATGCATCAATGAAAAGTAATATGATAGATGTTGCAGGCGGATTGCATGAGCTTCAAACAAAATTAGAAAGTACTAACTCAACTTTATTAAAGAATGAAACAGAAATGAGGGAGAAATTGAGTAAAAGCACTGAAGACATGGTTACACGCATTGACGAGACGAAGGTCCAAATGCAAAATGAAGTCACTACGCTAATGAAGGAACCGTTACAGAAAATTCAAGAGTACTCAAAAAGCTTGAGTAGCTTACAACTTCAAATTAATACTGTCCATGCTGAACTGACAGAAGTAGCAGAAAAAGTTATTTATTTTGAGGAAAAACACGGTCCGCTAAGGTACCGCTATTAGGTGTTTTAGCCCACCCACGCTAATTTTCATTTTTAACATGTAATGAATAGAACAGTTCTTTATTTATTTTTCTCCGACATAAGACATCTTAAAATCAAATAGGTATATTTTTCTTTTCTAAAATGTTAAGCATTTTATAAATGTGAGCGGGTGAATGGATTATTTTGTACTATTTTAACTGGTGCGAATGCGTGTGTGCATTTACTTGTTTTACTTTATTAGGATGTGTTGTTATTGTGGGTCCCCCACGATGACTTGGATTGGCTTAGTCAATAGTCGGTTGTTTTAGACAGTAATGAGTATATTTTAGTTGCCTCGAGTTTTAGGCTGTTTAAAATTAATGTGTTGGCTGTTTCGTGCAACGTCATGTTGAGTATCGCTTGCTTGGTGTCTGCCTTCATAGGGGCCCTAGCAGAGTGTGTTAACTTCAATGTTAGCAATATGGATGTTGTATAGGTAGACCAATGGCTTCGGGCTGCTCCTTGTGTAGGAAAGATTGGTTCTACAATGAATTTGTTTTACACGTTATTTTTATGTTGCTAGTTCTTGGTTAGACAGTGGTTAGTTGTGTTTTTTAGAATTGTAATAGTAGGGATTAGTTTACTCGAGGCTTTAGATATCTCTAGCAGAAGTTATTAGTATTTAAACATATGTATATATTGATGTAGGCTATATATTTTTCTATGCATTTTTCTTATGTTTTCCTTTTCTTTTTCTCTCTCCCCCCCCCCCCCCCTAGCAGGGCTTACATAAATAAACTCTAACGGTATTCACAATAAAATAACTTGATTAACTACATTGACTGTATTTTAAATTTAATAACCAAAAATAATCTGCTTTGGCATGCAGTTATACAGTGCTGTAGTTTAGAATTACAACAGAATTAGTTTATCCTGACAGTCAATGTCTTAATTAAAGAAATGCTTCAACACGTTTTAAGCAAACGTTCGTTTATATTATGAATGGTTTAAAATCGTATTTTCAGTGTGAGTAAAAGTATCTACATACAGAAGAATGTTGACATTAATATTATTGACTACTAGGTTGGTGTTTTTTCCAGACATTTCTCCGGGGGGGGGGGGGGGCGGACACCGGAAAAGGTTTAAATATATGTATATATATATATATATATATGTATATAATGTATATATATATATATATATATATATATATATATATATATATATATATATATATATATATATATATTCTATTTCATTTCGGGGGGGGGGGGGGGGGGGCGAAAAAGAGATGCATGGAAGAAACTCAGTACCAAATATCTCCAATTCCCAGCTTATAGAGTAGTAGGTCCTCAATAAATTGGAGTAGCTTTTCATGGGACAGATGAAGTAGGGTGCATGTTTTCTTAAAGCCGTTGTGTATTCAGCACTTTGCCTACACATATCCTAATGAATTTTGGGTACACTAACTTCCAATACTTATGCGAAAGATAAAAATATTGACTGGAACTGCTTCTCTGTGATTGGACGGTGGAGTAACCAAACATCTTAGGCCTTAGGCGAGGGTAGTCTCTCAAACGCCACTAGTGATTATAGACCCGAAGCTAACACATGTGCTATGTAACGGACTAGCTCCCTACTTTCAGCTGGTAAAAGTTATCTTATGTTGACATACGGATACTACTTCTGTCACATTCTAAATCTTGTTGACTTAATGAGTTCAAAGAATGTGTTAACACGTCCTTACGGGTAAAGCTACCAACAAAGCTAAACGTGTAACTAGATCTACATATGCTTACAAAAGATCAAATTCAGAACTTATAACATTTTAGTAATAGCTGTTGATATAGAAAAGTGCATGGCAAAAATTATAGGCCTACTCTCATTCAGTAAAAATAAAACACTGCACACTTAATTAAGCACTAAAATGCGGCACATTTTCCAACACTAAAAATGAGTCCGTCTATAAATAGTAACAACTTTGGTTGTGTTAATTATTAATTTATTTAAAAACAAGTTAATAAAAAGTCTAGTGACAATTTAAGCGCAATTTCCTTTAATTAATTTTTTGTGACCGAACGAAAGGATATTTTTGAAAACTTTCTTCGGCAATATTGTTCTAAATTATGGCAGGAATCGATTGGTAAATGTTTCAAGTCGCTAAGTGGTCTGGTTGCCGAGATATGGGCCAAAAACTGCATTGTTTCGAGGTTTTTTGGCTTTTTCGGGAAATCCAGGAAGAAATTCCGGGATTTTTTCTGGCCCACAATCATCCTCGGAACTTGCTTAACATATTTGCTTTTGGAACTAGTCCTCGATATTGCTTCGTTGAGGAGGAGATACGACTTAAAGCTGCGGACACACATCTGACACACATCGGACACACATCCATCCTTGACGAGTTAATAATCGCAATTCTCCAGTATGGAAATTGCGCTAAAAACATCTTCTAGATGGTGTCATCAATGATGCTAGACAATTTAATGGGGCGATTCAGAAAGGCTTATTTTGATTAAAACTATTCATTCACATATTTACCGTGGGATAAACGGAAACTTGAATTTAAAATAGCACACATTTAAATTACATTTACAACTACACACTGATGTGGATTTTATTTTATTGCAAAAAAGTTTGATACCAAATACCACGACTTGTTAGTATAATTTCATATTTCAACGAGGCTAAATATGTAAAATGGACTGTCTTAAAATGTGGCACTGATTCGCCAGTACGAACTAGATCTGTATCTGCTAAATCACTCTGACTAAAATGTAGAATACAGCAGCTAAAAGTAAAAGGGTTTCTATCAGACATTTTTCTCCGAGGGGAGGGGGCATAAATTTCAACAATTTTTTTTTTATATTTCGTCCGGGAAGGGGAATGAATCCCCCCCCCCCATCCCCAGTAAAGATCCCTAAAAAAACCTCCTACAGTTATTGTTTTACAATTAATGAAACATTACACCTATGTCGATAATCTAAAGCCAGTGAAACAGCTGTAGAAAAGTAGTTCTGAAATTCTTATTGAGCACGACGTAAACGATGAAATTACTAGAACTGTTGATGCACACAACCGTGTTGATAAGTTGATAGACAACCTTGTTGATATTACCCTGCGTGTCGTCTGTTAGAGAGTACGAGGCGTATTGGGGGATGTAGTTTGGTAGCGAGAGTATGGATGACGACACGATGTACACACAGCACACCGACAGCAACATCTTGGTTGTGCGGGTGGTGGAAACAAACTTCTTGGTCAAATTTTTCCTGCGGATGGAGCTGAGCTTTATTTTTATGAAAATAACAACACACCCAAATGCCGTGACCCACTGGGGTATAATCATGCAGGAATAAACCATGAATTCTTCAAGAGCAGTGGCAGCATCAACATTTTGGTAAAAATATTCTGACATTCCAATCGTTTCTATGGATACGTTAGTTATAGAGTCGTAGTAGATGGTGATGTCTGACCAAAAACTGGAATAGATAAAAATTGATAACGAATAAAGAAATAAACCGAAAACTGTCAGCCATGTTCTGGGCGGGGTGATGATTCTATTGAAAGAAAGAGGTAAGAAAATAACCACTAGTCTTTCAAAGGTTATGAGCATGGGTAGAATCAGACCCATCTGACCGAATGTGTAGTCGAATACTGTGAATACGCAGAACAGTGCAAATAGAATTCTCGTTTCGAGTTCAGACAGACCACGGTACTCGTGGTCCCATGCAGCCTGGTAGAGAATCTTCGGCACGCTGTTGAAGCCGATGAGGAACATGATGTCCGAGAAGGCCAAGGTCACCAGCAGGATGTTGGAGCACTTCTGGAGCCCGTGCTTGGTGAGGATGTGCAGGCTGAAGATGTTGCCGACGATGCCGAACAAGGAGATGGTCGGGGTGACACCAAACATCAGAATCTTCATGGCCAACCAGGTCGTGTCGTCAGCGATGAGTTCAAACGTGAACGTCGTGTTCATTTGAATGCTAACGACGTTACTAGCACTGGCCATTTTTAACGGAACTACTGAAAAACTTAACTGCTATGAAAACGATTAAATTATGCTTTGTTCATTTTTTTTATTCTACATTCTTAAATGTCGTTGATTCTTTGTTCATCTTCTAAGTACTAAAACAAAAACTTAATAATTATTAATAGTAGAAAAAAAATTTGTTTGAAATTTAAGATTCAAACAACAAATTCCCTTTTATTACTAAAACTACAGACAGAAATGTTTTACTATAAAGTATAAATGTGCGGTTATTGTCTGGTGAGCTGCCGACCCTTAAATGATTGGATCGTATTTTAGTTCTAGCCACATTTATTGATCAAATAATTTACGCTTTACTCAGGCTCTAATTTAGACGCTAAATATCAATTATAAATCTAACGGTATAGAATTAACAGAAATAATCACAAGACCTTTTGGAAACCGACATTTAAACTACTTCGGTACATCGATTTTAAACTGACTCAACCATTTAGTCATTGAAAAAATTATGGTTTACAAATTTCTTTCAATTTTTATTATACGCCTTTATAAAATCACAGACTTCTAGACAACACAAGTCTGTCATTAATTTTGTAATGCAAAGATTATTTAATCTTGGTTGTTGTGCACAATTATTCAAAATGAAAAAGTGTACGCTACAATTATTGATTGTTTCAATCATAAAAACTCAGTTTCTTTGCTTTTAACAAATTATACATTTAAAAAGAAAAATGACGCAGTTTAGGCTATATATTGATTCTTTGTTGGCAGAGAGTGATATAGAGGAAGACATTTTCGCCTAGATGAGGTCATGTGAGGGATGTTTGTAGGTCCTAGACCTTCCGCTAATGACCCACTAGTACAGTGGTTCTTAACCTGGGTTTGATCGAACCCCAGAATTATATTTCGTTGGGGGGAATAGACGTTCTTCAGGGGGGGGGGGGGGGAGAGGGGTGCGGGCGGCACCACCCCAAAGAGATGCCTTGAAGAAACTGGCCCCCGAACTGATATATGATAGTTAATGCGGCCCTCGGGCTGAAAAGTTTGGAGACCTATGGTCTAACCAGTCTAAGGGAACGAACGGAAATTTTGATAATGATGATGATATAGGAATGTAATTTAATATGCGTGTTTAACTACAAAACAATTCATCAACCAAACGTTGTCGAATTATTTACACGAGTCAACCTAGCTCTGATACATAAAGTTGTTTTATTTTTTTAAGCAATATGTTTTTTTAAATTGTTTAATATTAAAGTAATCGCAGTTATAATTAAACAATGACATTGGTCCAAAGGCTTTGAGATTGGTTTCGCAAAATATTGACACGTCTGAAACGGCATATTAAAATAATTAAGTGTGACACAAAATGTGACAAATGTATTATTTTTTAAAAAGGTACAACAGGAAAATATTGATAATGTTTTAAGATAACATTGATAAAAAGACAGACATTCTTTTGGACTCGTAGAGGTTGTGTGATGGGTGCTTGGCCGACTTAACAGAGAAAGGCCCCACCAAAAAAAAACAAAAAACAACGCAGTGCGCCTCCCAGGCTAAACAAAACATCTGTCTATGTACAAAAATTAATCCATTAAAACTGATGTTCTATTTCTTCCGCGCTAATAGTTGATCTATGTACCATAATTATTGGTTAAAAAACGTAAAATGATTAGCGTGTTAGCCTTTGTTATTGTGATCTATTATAAAAGCTCTACTTCCTGTTTCAGATACGAAATGCGAACTATTTATGGAGATTTAGTTCCTAATGATTTTATTTCACTGTAGACCAAATTAATTAGCCTACCGGTAATTATATCTAGTAATAACTTATTCACAGATTCTATTATATTTATCACATTGATGTTTAAATGAAACTTGACACTAACGTACAACTACAGTACCTACTGATTACTGAGTGAACACTCAGTGAACATTGAACACTGATCTGATGGTGAACACTGAACACTGTTGTCTGACTGTGACTGAGTCGTGAGTGTCACTTAACTGAACAGTTGCACACAATGACAATGAACAGTCAGTATAGTTGAGTACACACTCACTTAACTTAATGGTTGTCTCAAACTCACTACTCTACACCACTAGGTAGGCCTACAGATCTAGTTTGGCTGATTCCTGCCAGAAGATGTGCACGCACATGTTTACTATCACTGAACCAGCGCTACGTCTATTAAGTCTTAAGTGTAATTTGAGCTCATTTTTAGCCTTATAAATTGTAGAGCCAGTCTTGGTTAGGGGGCAGAAGCTTCTTACGACTAGTTACTTCGAAATAGATACAGTACTAGATTCTGGGGGGGGGGGGGGGGGGGCAGAGTGGTCTAGCGGTAGAGAGCTGGACTATGAACCCATTAGTCTTGAGTTCAAATCCGGGTTCAAGTCAGTATACAGTCCCTGAGTCCACCCAAGTCTAATGGGTACCTAACTCACTTTGGGGAAAGTAAAGGTGAATGGGCATAGTGCTGACCACATTATCTCTTCATATGCCAAGGTCACAGAAACAAGTAAACTCTACTTCACTTGCCCTATAGACTGTCAGGATTGAAAAGGGAACTTTACTTTTTACTAGATTTGACTATATGTTCACTATATTCTAGATTGATTAGGTAACTAGGCCTATCATTAACTAATTAGAATAAAAATAAAATATATTTTAAGTTAGGATTTTACATTTTGCTAGAATCTAGACTTTTATAATTTAGTTGGCCTATTACTTACTAATAACACTATATTAGACACTTTTTTTAATAGATGGTATCGAGGTAGGCTATTAACTGGGCCTTAGTTAGCCTCTAACAAAGCATAACCTAACCTAATAAATTTTAGTTGGCATTAAAAAATAGCTTTGGCCAATAATAGATCTAGTAATGTGCAGAAGAGTAACTTATAAATTTGGTTTTTGATATAAGTATATTTATGCCATAAAATACCCATATTTATTGGCCATATCAATGCCAAAGTATTTGAGATGAATATAAGTAAATATTCAGAATTTTATATTTGCATGTCCGTTGTGTGGATTTGTTTTGTTTAATATAGTTGTCTTGTTTAATTTTAAATTAATGTAAGAGCCCATCTGCTATTTAAAAAAAAAAAAAATTGAAATAAATGGCTAATAGAGTACATCCCAGGTTTCATTATTTATTGGGACTTTTTTGTCAAGGAGGGGTGGAGGGAAAGAGTCACAGTAGCGTGTATTTTAATAATAAAAATGTTGAAGAAGATGTTTGGCTTTGTTAGAAATGTTGATTTATGGAGTAGTAGAATTTTGGAAGGCCATGGTTGCTAAACCGAAAAGTCTCGAGTTCGAACCCTCGGGCAGATGAGGCTCGTTAGCTGGGGACAGCCACTCTTCTAGGAGAGACAACTCCAAAATTAAACAACTGCTGCCTTGTAGTTTGTTCTCGGTTGGACAAAGGCTATGGAAGCAAATCCAAAAAAGAAAAGCAGGCTGAAATCGGAGTCAATGGCCTCAATGGCGCATAACCAGTTGACACGTAACGCTTAATTGTGTTGGAGGCGTGGTCGAGTCGGCAAAAAAGCTCATGGTTGATAAATTCGAACAAAGTCTCGAGTTCAAACCCACTGGCAGATAAATCTCGATCCCCTTCAACACTAATAATTAAGAAAGAAGAAGAAGAAGGAAGGCCCTTTTTATCTATTAATACAGGAGTTTGGCTTTTTGTTGAAATTAGCCAAAAAAGCATGGTATCATAATTGTGCAATCCATATAGGTCTAGCTGTTTAACTATTGTTAGGCTATTAGTGTTAAGCCTACATTTTTAATGAGCTGTGATTTTTTAAAAATCCAAACTCAATTAGCTACATTTAAACACCACATACATAGTGATACGTTTCAGTAACTGCTTTGCTTGCTTTTATTAGTTATTTATTTTCTCAGTGGTTTATTTTTACACCACCACCACCACTCAACTTGGTCTTGGAGTTTTTCACCTTCTTAAACTTGAAAGAAAACCATAGTTTGTAGAAATTTTATCTGTTCTTTTTTTTAAGAATGCAAAACCTATATTGTGCCACATTTATTCGTCCACATTTTTATCCCCCACTTAACTCATCATCTAAAAAAAATATACAAAAAACTTGCAAGGAATAAACACAACTAAAAATAACCATTCTAATTATGTTGAGACCTAAAAGCTTCAGTGTGATAAAACAGAATTTTAAAAATATTAATGAACATTGTGACTGTCAATTACAGTACCTCTGCTCAAGGACCAAACACTGTGACATTATCCCTTCTTTTGATTAAAACAAAAAAACATTTTTTTTTTGTTTTTCAGCACATCAAGACACAGTCATGTCATGGAAACCTGTACCTGACAGCTTCAGTAAACATTTCTGATAAAACTGATCCACAAGAAATTTAATGGTCAAACAATTCACCAGTATAATTGCTTCAACAACTTTTTTACTTCGATTCCATGGAGTTTGAATTATCTTTGGAAATCCAGAACCCAATCATCATGCACCACTGGGATACATTAAACCAGAGGTTCAAAACTTTCAGCAAACTCCACTCTTTAGACCCAGGAGTTAACTCACAGAGATCAAACCCTCTTCTGCTGCATCTTGGGGGAGATGCTCTACTAGAGCTGATCACTACCTCTGTGGTACTCAAAAAGGAAGGAGATTCAACAGTAAGGGATCTTTTAGCAAATATAGAGTCCTTATGCTTGCCTAAGTTCATTCTCTTGTACGAGCGCTACAAATTATTTGTGTGTCGCCAAAAAAGTGATGAATGTGTGTGTCAGTATTTGTCTCAGCTTGCCAGTCTTGTGGAGCTGTGTGGTCTGGAAGGAGATGTTGAAGCCTGCATAAAGGACAGAATTCTTCATGGCATCACTGATATCTGTCTAAGAGAACAATTACTGCTAATTAAGGACAGGGATTTAAATTCGTTTGTCGAAGCTTGTCAGGGTTATTCAAAATGCGAGACGGGCAAATGTTGTGAATATTTTGTACATTTTGTTGACAAAATTCAC